GCTGGCGCTGGAACCTAAAAGCCAAAGCCACCGGACTTTCCTTCTACACTGTATAAAGGAGATGTTGTTCAGTGGATAAAGTCTTGGCCTTTGACTGGGAAGATCTTTATTTAATGAAGCTGACTGAATGGCCCTGAGCAAGTAACTCTTTCAGACTAGCCTACCTCACAGGGTTGTTGTTAGGATAAAATGGGACAGCCACACAAGGGTTTCCCTGGGTGTGCTGGTGGAAGATCAGGATAGAAACGGACTACCTCCATCTTTTCCGTGGGTCTTGCGTAACAGAAGCACTTGGATTGTACGCTGCAGGTGCAAATGACAGGAGTCCCTTTCCTTTACCTTGCCGCAGTGTAGACAGAGCAACTGCTCTGTTTTAAACAAATCTGGTGTGCTCTGTGTCTTGCAGAAATACTTCATGTCTGACATTGGATTAGAAAGGCTGTAACCTTTGCTTCCCATTGTGAAAAGTGGGCCAAGTTTCTGTGTTGTTCTCAGCAGTATACATATTTTGAATTAAATAACTTTGAAATGTTAGCAGGCATAATAACACTGTGACTACGGGGATAACTGCTTTTTCTTTGCCCCCAAAAGGCATTTTGACAAGCTGAATGGAAAGTGTAATATAAAGACTCTGTATTACGTGATGGACTATTATGCAGTAAAATAGAATCCCTTAGATATAATGTTCCCATTTTTCTTGCGCTAATTCATGCGAACACGTGAAGTCACATGTGTTATACAGTAGTTTTCCATGTTCCTTTTTTTCCTGTGTGCCATTATTTGTGTTTTGCTGGATGTAGCAATTATTTGAAAGGCTTAGTAGCTTATAGCAGCTCACAGGGATGAGAAGGCTCTGTTTTTCACAGTTATTCTCACAGAGTTAATTGCATCACTTCGTAAATGCATTCAGTGAGCTCAGGCTGAAATGTGACATTTTGTATTAGACAGTTCTAGTCTGGTGTCTCAGCAGGCACACGGACCCTGCTGCTCTGAGGGAATTATAGGTTTGTCTCTCTCGGCAAATGTGTTTGGGTTTGCTGCAGTGTTAGTAATTCCATCCCTTTGAGGACTGAAGTATGATTGGGCTTGCTTGCCTGCTTTGGTAGGAGGAGGAAGAAAGAGGTTGTGGGTAGTGCGAGCAGCAATAAACATTAAACAAAATATGTTTTCATTGTGGGCATCGTACAAACGGATGTTTATTTCAAATGTGGGGGGGGGGAGTATTTTTGTAGTTCTGAAACTATTACTATGTAATGTGAAAACATTTTTGCTATTGGAATTTTTAAATAAATCATATAATATTTATTCTGGTTAGATTAGTCATTCACATTTTTGGCAATGTTTTCATAATCACAGCTTATATTTACTTCAATTCCTTAAACTAATTGAAGTTGTTACTGCTTAGGTCTTAATACTTAGGTTCTGAAACAAGTTGGTACTTTCTGTCAGTTTCCCATCTTTCTGTAAATCTCACTCCTCCTGGGGCTCTTCTGATAGTATACCAGACCAGGGGGATTACCACATACTCCCATCCTAACTGGTTTGGGATTCCTTTTCTCTCTCCAGAATATCTATCCCCTTCCTACTGAATTGAAACCCAAGTAGAGCGTTCCTTCACGGTTCCACTTCTCCTTTCTCTAGGTCAGCTACCAGTTCTCACTTGTCTATATACTCTTAAAAGAACACCCCAGCTCAGAGACTTCCTTCTCAGCTGTAGATATCTCCTCAGAGGACTCAGCTACATTGGCAAAGAAAAAGCGCTTTATCTGCGTTATATATGCATTATAACACAGTGACACCAGATGGCGCTGTGGAGTTCCGATTTTGCCAACCCGATTTCTCATACTGAGTTTACAACGTGTTTAACTGAAACGCTTCTTTGATGTGTCTAGATCCAGCCAGGGCGAATTACAGCTCAGAGGCTATATACCCCTATCCAACTGAATGCCAGGAACCCATATTCCAGTTGCATTTATTTTTCCATCCCAAAGTGCTACCTCTACCCCCTCTTCTGGCTAGCTGTACCTGCAGCCAGTCAGAGTCTCCAGCCCAGCACTCTGCAAGCTCCACCACTCTTTTGCACTGGGTTGCTCTTTACATTCTTCCTGGCCCCCTTGAAAATAGGTGTCAGGGTCAAATTGGTGTTTGAATTGCGACCTGTAGAATTGTGAACTGGATTTTAAATATGGTTTGTTACGAACAAACCTGTTGCCTGAATTATCAGGAGTATTAATCAAAGATTTTCCCTATTGGTGATTTGACTTTCCTTTCGATCAGTGACTGACTGGGAGATCTGAAGCACCTCTTACATGACTCATAGGGTACCACTCTACAAAAATTGCATTGCAAATCAGAAACATTTTGAAGGAACTTTCATTTGCATTTGTTAACCTTTTGGCCACGCTTAGACTGAATGTAGTTTGCCAAAGTACTGATGAACCTGGAAGAACAGAATGAACGGCTCAAATGATCACATAAAAATAAAATGCCAAAAACCCACATTTGGATTTGGTTCAGACTTTAATGTCCAATAGGCTCCAAAGAGGAAGCACTTAAGGGTATTGATAACACTTAGGGAACCTAAGGTTTTCATGGCTGCTTTTTATAATTAAAAAGCTGTTTTAACAATTTAATAACGAGAATAGTAGCTTTGAATAGATGACTATACTAGACTGGGCCCTGCATACCTTGAATATGATATACTACCCTTTGCCCCAACATAATCTATTACAATTTAGTATCCCCCTCCAACTTCCATCCTCTCTCATCACTGGCCGTGCTGGCTTGGACTGATGAGAATTGTAGTCCAACAACTTGTTGAGGTCATCACACTGGTTACACATGATCTATTAGGCCTACTGCTAGCCCATTTGCAAAGCTAAGCAGGGTCCAGTATGATTTCAAATTGGATAGGGGACCACGTGCTGAGATTCCTGCATTACATGTGATTGGACTCTGAGTTCCTCCCAACTCTACAATTCTATGATACACTCAATTATTCTGTTTGTATGCTTAGTTCATACAGCAAGGGTACATACAGCCATTCACATTGGCTTCTAAAGCTATAAAATTTCTGGAAATTCAGCAAATCGTGGCTGGTCCTCCTTCATTGTCACCACCACCACCACCAACATCTTAGTTAGTGGCATCAGTGCACTTGGTATTTTACAGCAGGTGTTGGGACCCTTTGGCCCTCCAGATATTGCTGAATTGCAACTTCCATCCTCTTGGCCAATAACCATGTTTTCTGGAGCTAATGGGAGTTGTAGTTCAACATCCGAAGAGATAAAGGTTTACCACACCTGTTTTACAGGGTAAGTAAAAATGCCATACAGATTCCTGTCAAAGTTTGGAAGGAAGAGAACAGAAGGAGAGGAGGGACAAGACTAACAAGAGATAAATTGGAGCAAATCTATTTAAATGTACTTGGACTTAAATGCCACAGAGTAAAAAATGGGCAATGGGCTAAGAAATTGCTCCTTTTGAAGAGTTTGAAATGCCTTTTTGGTTCCTAAGACAAATTTTGATTTGGAGTTCAGCATTAGCATGTGCTTCTCTTATTTAATTTCCTAGTCCTTGATATAAACTTGGTTATAACTAAATCACAAATACATTTTTCATTAATTCACTTATGGCATGAGACTTAGGTATTGTTGTGATACAGCTCTGGCTTATGGAATAAGTATGTTAAATTTGTAATGCAGAATGATGTCTTTGCCACAGCCAATACATGTAATTTCAGGGTAGGAAGATAAACCCGTTTGCTTTTAAAAATTAGATGGGAACATTTTCTGTTCTCACCCCAGAATACCAAAATACGCTAACTATGCAGAAACGTTTATACAGTGTGCTTATTTTCCCACAGCCTGTTGTTTATGCAAGCCGTACCCATAATTGCCTCAAGACTTCGTGAATTGTTCATGACAATTTCTCATTGCTAAGCAATCACTTAATATGGTTAAACTGCTAAGCTGAAGATAAATGACTTAAATTATTACAGAATAATAGCACATCTGCTAAGACCCTTCTAGTACTGCAGCAACAATATTGTAATCGAAGAGGGATTCTTCATGTACAAGAAACATTTTGTTAAGCTGTAGTATGTGATTTTGGATATACATGATTAACAACAAGCCCTCCTTTACAAGATAATATATGTTCCAGTTCTGGTTTATTTAATGAATCCCTTATAAACAGGACTGAGGGAGGAAAGGTGCCAAGGACAGGTCTATTGCATGACATTCTAAGATCCCAAAGGAAATTAGGCTCCAAACAGAACTGGCACAGCCTCATGCCTTGTTTGAGTTTGTGCCACCTCCAAATATGTAGTGGAGGTTTTGATGCAGAGATGCATTTAAATGAAATTGATTCCCCCCCCCCCCAAAGAGAGAGAGAGAGAGAGAGAGTGTGTGTGTTTTGGTGGTACAGTTGTATAAGTAGAATGTATCATGTGAATACTTGCATACTTTTGCCAGGATTAGTTCACCACTTTAAAATGTGGGTGGGATCAAGGATATCTTCCTGCAAAGATGGGTGGCGTAATGAACTAGCGTATCATCCAATATGCTGTGACTAGGCCTTTTCCGGGAGCCAATGGGCTGCAGCCTGCAGCAGGCTGTTTTAGTGGACGGGTCCGGGGGGGGGGGAGTCAGACCCAAAAGAGAACCTTTTCCTTCTGATCCACTCCTAAACAAAAGCTTTAGCTTTGCTATTGCCCACATACTAACCCACGTTTTAAAAGCCTTTACCTTACTCTAGACAAAGTTGCTGGTCTCTGCAATGGGATGGTCTCTGCAATGTGGAACTTTCTACATTCCTCATAGCAATATGTGTGGTTTATCATTTAATTCCAGTGTTCCATATTTCTGTCACAACTTTTTCATTGCAGGAACTTTAAAGCACTTGGCTATATCAACAGCAGAGGTAAGCAGGGGATCCTTTAACGGATATTATGGTGTCCCTTTTGCGGGTGGCACTGTGGGTTAAACCACAGAGCCTAGGACTTGCCGATCAGCCAGCCACTGCATTATTGAAAATAAACGATTCGCTGGAACAACTCCATAAGAAAACAGATGCGATAAATGTGAAATTGGATGTTGCAAATATTGAAACTGATTTAATTGTAGAAAGTTTAAATAATTTGGGACAAAAGGTGAATACCAATTCAGAAACCACCCAGAAACTGATACAGGAATCTACTCTGATACGGCAAACTGCAGATGAAGTCAGGGAAAAAACCCTTGCTGCTGAATTTAAAGTAATACAACTGGAGAGGAGCGTCCCATCCATACAAAGACAACTTGATGAACATAAGCTGACATTCGTTATGATTGAACTTAAAGAAGAACGGATGAATTTGAGGACCAGAGCCCTATCTGAATTGGAAAAGGAAAGCCTGACAGAGTTTCAGGAGGTGACAGGACTAACATTGGTTGAGAAGGAGAGGTATTTGGGGGTTAGTATGACCGCCAAAAATGTGAATCTGCTTAAGGACAACTGTGAAGGATGTTGGATTGAAGAGAAGGGGGATTTGGATATATGGACAAATCAGAAGTTGTTACTGTTGGGCCGAGTCATTGTGGTGGGGATGAGGGCTGCTGTGTTGCTGGGGATGTTGCTTTTGTTTCAAACATTGCAAGCTCTGGATGGGATGGAGGGTCTCAGGAGGTGGCAGAGGGATGCTCCTAGAGTTGTTTGGCAGGGCAGGAAGCTTCGAGTCAAACTTAAGATATTGATGGCTGCTAAAGAAGGAGGTGGACCTGCCCGCCAGACCTTTAAACTTCGTTGTGAACCATCTGCCTTTTGCTGGTTGAGAGAATGGTTGCTTCTTGAAAACACTGAAGTGTTGGACAATGGCAGACGAAGTTGATGGACTATAGGGAATTGGCGGAAATGACTGGCAAGATCCGAGACCAGGGTGAAGAGTCGGTGGAAGAAGATTGGAAAAAGTTTAAAGACTATTTATAGAAATATTGTAAAATTAAGGAATGTTAGAAAAATGTTGGAATGAAATTACATGGCTTTAGTAGAAATGTCATAAGGAATTAAGTATAAATAGATTAATAGAAAATTAAAGGAAAAGTATGGCAAGAATGTGTTAAGATAATTATACAACAGAAAACAGAGTAAGATGGAAAGGAATTGCTGATACAAATAATAGAAGTGGAATACAAAAAGGGAGGTGTGAGGAAGTCGCTGGAAATAAGTGAATGAAATATAAGATATTGAAAATGTTTGAGGTGTTTTTAAATTGTTTTTGTTTGTTTTTGCTTGATTTGTTAATTCATGTAGCGTTTTTGTATTGTATTCGTATTGGTTTTTTTTTCTTTTTCTTCTTTTTCTTTTTGTTTGTAGTGCTGTGTTGGAAATTTTGAAAAAGTAATAAATATCATTTAAAAAAAAAAGGGCTTGCCGATCAGAAGGTCGGTGGTTCGAATCCCTGTGATGGGGTGAGCTCCCGTTGCTTGTCCCTGCTCCTGCCCACCTAGCAGTTCGAAAGCACGCCAGTGCAAGTAGATAAATAGGTACTGCTCAGGTGGGAAGGTAAACGGTGTAATCCGTGCGCTGCTCTGGTTCGCCAGAAGCGGCTTAGTCATGCTGGCCACATGACCCGGAAGCTGTACGCCGGCTCCCTCGGCCAATAAAGCGAGATGAGCGCCGCAACCCCAGAGTCGGCCACAACTGGACCTAATGGTCAGGGGTCCCTTTAGCTTTACCTTTTATGGTGTCCCTTCAAGGCCCCAGCCCATTTTGGTGACTAGCACGTTTGCCATACAGTCAGGTAATAGGACTGACAGTCATGGTTCTTATGGTTGTGGGCCTGAAATCCCTTCAGCTCTCCACTCCCCAACATGCATTTGGCATGCAGGCTGGGCCACGGTACTAGTTTGTAGTAAGATTGTCCTGTGACTGGATCCTCAGCTTATGCTACACCAAACTCTGCTAGCATTCTGGTCAATAAAAGCTGTGGACATTTTAAATGCCACTGTAAGCAGTCTTTTCTTGCTTAACATTCTCCATGCTATGCTGCAGGCACAACCATTGCTTTTGTGACAAAAGCTAAAGTATGTGTACAGAGTGAGGCCAGGTGGACATCCATTCATAGCCATCGGGTACAGAAAGAACTTGTTCTAACTCAGGGGCAGAAAGCTTGTGGCTAAACTACAGTTCCCTTAATCCCTTACTAAATTTGCTAAACTACAGTTTCCATAATCCCTGATCATTGGCCATGCTGGTCATTATCTAATATTTCAGCAAATGTGCCTGCAGGAGTTGTGAGATGCATGCAGACATAAGTTCGTTACAGTTTATAAGAAATTATTCATCCCCACCCCCTGTAAATAGTCCTTTTACTACAGTGATTGAACTTGCTAAATCAAACGGCTCAAATAAAAAAAGCAAAAGAAAGGAACTTGGTAGTTAGCTTGAACTTTAATTGCTTATTGAGTTTGTACTTCCTTACGCATTTACGTTTTATTATCCCACCTGAGGAAGTGTAGCGTTGAGCTGAGTGCAGAGCTTATAAAATTAAAGTTTTGAAATCTGCATGCAGAGCTTTGTGCCTCCACCGGTGGTTCATTTTTAGCAACAGAGTAAGAATTCTCATTAGAACATATCATTCAATATGTTCTACCGGCAGAGAGAACTGAGAGTAGGCAGGTCCTTTCCATTAGTTCTCTGTTACTTTTCTTATAATTCCTGATATTAAAAGTACTCTAGGGATTTACAGTGCAACAAGACTATTAATAAAGCCTTGCACCAACAAAATTTCAGCATGCTCATGAATAACTGAGCATCCTGAAAATGTGGCATTGATACAATAATACTTGAATAGTGCTTGCTAGATAAAGCAGTTCTATGGACTGGTGTCTGGGCTGGATGAGGGCCAATAAACTGACTGAATCCTGGCAAGATGGAGGCACTGTGGGTGGTTGCCTGCTTTGTATGAGGTTGAACTCCCCCTAAAAGAGCAGGTTTGTAGTCGGGGGGGGGGGGTGATCCTTGATTCTTCTTTGTTGCTAGAGGCCTAGGTGACCCCAATGGCTAAGGGTGCCTTTTACCAATTTCTGCCGGTAAGACAGCTGAAACTGAAATTAGTGCAATATGCTCTATGTTGCGCTGCCCTTGAGATTGCTCTGGAAGCTGCAACTGGTGCAAAACGCAGCGGCGCAGCTGCTCATTTGGGGCAGGATATCACCAACACATTACCCTGCTGTCAAAGAATTGCACTGGCTGCCAGTGAGCAACTGCAGTAAGTTCAAGGTAATTGTTTTTGTGTATAAAGCTATGGACAGCTTGGACCAGGATACCTGAAAGATCACCTCACGCCTTATATACCCAATGTGCTCTGCAAGTGAGGACAGGGTTGGTGGACTTTGGTAATCTTTCATAATACGAAGCCTTGCGCAAGCCCAAAATTTGGCAACCTCAAATGGATCTTCTCAGTTTTGCACCCCTTCGGCTTGGCGCCCTTGTGTGGGGGAACTGCCTGCACTGACTTAAATCCAGCACTGGCGAGGAATTCTTGCAATTACAATCTTATCAAGAGGTCTCTTCTGCCCCATGTTGGGTACAAATTGGGGACTTGAGTGTTGTAGCACCTACCCTTTGGAATTCCCTCCCCTTGGATATTAGATAGGCGCCATCTCTGTTGTCTTTTTAGCACCCACTGAAGACCTTTCTTTTTCAACAAGTCTTTTAAGATATCTTTCCCAGTCTGTATCTGTAATGGAATTGTTTTTAAGATGTTTATATTGTTTTATCATCTTGCTTGCTGCCCTGGGCTCCTTTGAGAGTGTGGGAGGTATATAAATGTAAAAAAGAAAGAATATTACAGGATTGTAATTAGGAACTTGCAGAGCTTGCAGGGCAGCTCTTTGTGGCTGATTAGCTGCTCTCCCTGTGCAAAGAAGGAGCAAAAAGGGTTTTCTTGTGTGTGTGTGTGTGTGTGTGTGTGTGTGTTTCTTTGTGGCTGATTAGCTGCTCTCCCTGTGCAAAGGTCAGAGGGGGCAGGGTTTCTGTTGAGGCAGGTGATTAGCTGTGGGAGGAGCTTATCAGAGCTTGCAGGGCAGCAGTTGAAGAAGGAGCAAAAGGGTTTTCTTGTGTGTGTGTGTTTCTTTGTGGCTGATTAGCTGCTCTCCCTGTGCAAAGGTCAGAGGGGGCAGGGTTTCTGTTGAGGCAGGTGATTAGCTGTGGGAGGAGCTTATCAGAGCTTGCAGGGCAGCAGTTGAAGAAGGAGCAAAAAGGGTTTTCTTGTGTGTGTGTGTTTCTTTGTGGCTGATTAGCGGCGTGCACAGTTTGAATCCATCTTTTAGATTTAGGGGAGCTAGTCTCAAACGTTTGTTGGGGGAGACCTAGGTTTTTTTTGGGGGGGGTTATTTGTCCTGTCTTCACGCTTTTTATGATGGAGGACCGCTGTAGCCACCCCCAACGACACGTTCTCAAGATGGAGGGGGAGGGAACAGCTGCAGTCGCCTGCGGTTCCTGCGCAATGTTTGCCATCTTGCCAAAGTTTGCAGGCAGCTTTACCTGCAGCAATTGCATGTTGATTGCCCTCTTAGAAGACAAAGTCCAGCAACTGGAGGAACGTGTAGCTACGCTCCAAAGAATTAGAGAGCTGGAGCTCTTCTTGGAAGCAACAGAGCACACCGTCTCCACCAAGGAGGAGACAGGGGACTCCCCTGAGAAGGAGGCTAGTTCACCAACACAGGAGCCAGATATATGGAGAAACGTGACTCAAAGAAGTAGGAGGCCCAGGGTTCGCTCTGATTGTTTAGAAATACACAATCGCTTTGAGGTCCTCCCCCAGCATGGAAGACGAAGAGCAGACTCCATTTGAGGATCTCTCCCTCATTACAGTCGATCAGGTATATGAAGACGAGCAGCAAAGTCAGTCCTCAGGGAATGTGCAGGCGACCTTGGAACGGACAGCTCACGGAAGAACCCCGACCAAACCTAAGAGGAGGCGTGTAGTGGTGATAGGGGATTCCCTACTGAGGGGAACAGAAGCAGTGATCTGTGGGCCTGACAAGATGTCTCGGGAAGTGTGCTGTCTCCCGGGGCTAAGATCCAAGATGTAACTGAACGACTGCAAGGAATCATAAAACCCACTGACAAATACCCCTTCCTCTTGGTTCATGTGGGAACCAATGACACTGCAAGCAATAGCCTCCAGAAGATCAAAAGAGACTACGAGGCTCTGGGCAGGAAATTGAAGCAATGAAATGCACAAATTGTCATCTCATCTGTCTTCCCAGTTGAACGACGTGGCCCAGGGAGAGAAGGAAAAATAGTGGAAGTGAACAGCTGGCTTTGCAAATGGTGTAAACAGGAACGGTTAAGGGGTGATATGATAGCCATGTTCAAATATATAAAAGGATGTCACATAGAGGAGGGAGAAAGGTTGTTTTCTGCTGCTCCAGAGAAGCGGACACGGAGCAATGGATCCAAACTACAAGAAAGAAGATTCCACCTAAACATTAGGAAGAACTTCCTGACAGTAAGAGCTGTTTGACAGTGGAATTTGCTGCCAAGGAGTGTGGTGGAGTCTCCTTCTTTGGAGGTCTTTAAGCAGAGGCTTGACAACCATATGTCAGGAGTGCTCTGATGGTGTTTCCTGCTTGGCAGGGGGTTGGACTCGATGGCCCTTGTGGTCTCTTCCAACTCTATGATTCTATGATTCTATAACTTTGAAACTTATGGGTGTAAAGATTTTTAAACTGACCTCTTCATATTTTAATGGTGATGTTGTGACAGCTTGAACCTGGAAGTCAAAGATTTCCAATACTTGTTGAGAATAGGGACTTGAGTAAACAAATAATTCCCAACATTAATTCCTAAACTTGAAACGTATTATTTTTTCCGATTTCTGGGCAAAATATTGGTAGAAGGAGGTGTTCAGTGTATTTTTGCCATACTCCATGTTACAGTGAAGAAATTCTGTCATGTTTATCAGGCTTGGGAGGCTGCAGGTGGAAGAGGAAATGAGTTGGTAGATTTCTAGTGGTTAGAGCGGGGAAGAACTTAATTTATTTTTATTATTATGTTTGTTCACTTATCATTATGGGGCAGTGAAATAGACAATAAAGTAACAGAAGAAAGTTAAAATCCTGTCTCATTGCCATGGGTGTCCAGCAGGAAAATTGTTTCCTGCGTTTCAGATCCTGTAAGATACAAAATATTCAGCTTCTCTGGGACTAACAAGACTGAAATATATCCAGCTTCCTTTAATATAACAGTAGTTCTTGTATGGTGGGCTGTTGTATTAAGCTTCAGATATTCTGTCTGCATTTAAGACTGCCAGTTACGAGTTTTGCAACCGTTTCAGGGTACTCCAGAATATGCCTCCAGCTGGGAACACTATGATTTTCATACAAATGCATTTGTACAAACTGATGGGTTTTAATAGTTCCCACATGCCCAATTTTGTACATATTGTTCTTCATTGCTAAGCTCCCTGCACTATTATCACCTGGCTACTGAAACACTGATTCACATTCCTGTACAAAAAAGAATCCCCTCTGATGAAAATCTATTAATACATCCAAAACCATTTGAGATCACCCACAGATGATCTTTGTGTAAGCTACAACAACTGTAATGTGGATTCAGATTACAGCAATTACCTGAGAGCAATAAAGGGTTTTCTTTCTGTGTACTGGCTAATATATGCTTCTAATTATGAAGTGCCTAAGATTACTCTTGGTATGCCAGGAAGGCTTTAGAAAGACTACAGTATTCTCAAGAACTGACTCAATTTGCCTTTCTTAACAAAGTGGTTATCTTTTGTTTGTTTTTACTGTGCTGAACCCAAGGCCAACAAGTGATTAACCTGTAAAGTGTGAAGATAAAGTGTCTTGTGGCTAATATATGTAAGCTATCTCATTTGCCTTTGGAAGAGAAACCACATTTCTTCTAATTAGATAATATGTTGTTATAATAAGACTGTTAGGCTTCACAGCACAAATAAAACTTCAATTCTTTATTCTTCTTTTAAGTTGGCTACCATGCAAATAATCCAGTCAACTAGGTCCTCAAATGCAATATTGTAGAACCATAGCATAACATTATACAGGAAGACAGCTGAACCAGCAATACCATGGTTTTCTCCTAGCAGAGAGTGGGAGAGGCAAACATAAGTTCAGTTGCAGGCTGCCGTCTTTTCCTGCAGTATTCTTTGATGTCAGACAGACTTTTCAAAGCACATGGTTCAGCTTGTCACTTGAAATAGCAGGCTGATGCGTTGTTTTGCAAGCAAATATACTTGCGAGAAGGTTTTTAGCCTGCTGCTGT